ATAACGGATTTTTTTATAGATGGCATTACCAAGGTCAGGTCAAGGTCAGTTATAAGGCTTAAAAGTTATAATTCGAACTTGTAACTAAAAAAGTACTTCATGAAAAAATATTTTATTATAGTGTTTTGGGAAGCCCTCGAGAAATGCTACAAGAATATGTAATAAAAAATGGGGGATTCTATTTAAAAAATTCATGTTGACCTTGATAATGCCTTGGTACCTCCTATCCAAAATCTGTTATTTCCACTTTTTTTCTCTCAAAAAAAACCTATGACTTTTATATAAAACTTTTCCTTGTATCTCCCTTAGTTTCTGAGATATTCGCCTGGAGCGATTAAAATGCCCCACTCTGTGTATAACCTATGTAACCTACAAAAGATTTGCGAGTTATCGCCTTGTATTTTTATCTACTAATACTAACGTTTCGTAATTATGGCTCTTGTACACAGAACGCGGCAACTCCGCGCAGCAAGCGTTGCTGCATTCTGTGGAGCCATTAGAGCGAAACAGAGAGAATCAAGGGAGAGTGGAGCGGAAGCCGCCATTTTCAGTTCATCGTTGAAGTGAGTAGGACATATGGTAGGAGCATGATGGAATACGGTGTTGCAAACACTAGTATTGTACCGCACTAGTATTGTGTATGTCATATATGTATGTACGTACACACACACATTTGCGGAAATGTGCACAATAAATGGCGGAGCCAATCAGAGAAGAGAACACTCCTCTCCATTCTTCCTTGATTCTCTCTGGGACAAAGATAAAGTAAACGGCAAGTTTCAATGTGTTAGCATTTCGCTAATAATAGATAAAAATACAGCGATAACCCACAAACCTTATAATATTTTTGAAGATAATATCCGTGCGTAATTCAAGCGTAATTCATAAAAGTTTTATCAAAAATAAAACAAGTAGATCAATCAAACTGTGTTTAAACAGCTTAATAATTTCAAAAAATAATTTGTATTGTATGATCATTAGGAATGTTAAAAATAATAATTATTAGATTAGATGATTAGAAAAAACTTAAACTATGAAGTCATTATTAATTATTATTGATCTAAGTGTATTATTATGGTACCCTAACCGTCGAATTCTGAGCATCATCTGAACAATCATCATCAAGAGCTTAAAAGTCACGATTATATAGTGCTTAATATTTAAAAAAAAAACTTAAAAATACAAAATCGGATTAAAAATACAAAATCGGATTAGCAAAATGATAAAATAAAAGATATTAAAACTTTTACAATGATCGCAATCTTGATGTGGTATACTCGAACAAGAAGTATACATTGCCTATAAAACGTCAAGAAAGCGCTAAAAAAGTGTATATAAGAGCTTTACAAGCATTTACAAAGTGTTTAAAAGTATTTACAACTGTTGTGCTACTTGAAAAGACTTGAGTTTATAGGCAACTAATCATAATCAAATAAACACTTATAGATTTAGAGTCTAGAGCAAACAAAAATTCATTTTTTAGTATGAGTTGTATTCATCTTCACCTTGGATTATGAAATAACACTAATATGATTGCATAACAGTATATAATCAGCGAAAATATTTTTATTAGTTCACTTATTAGTCATAAAAAGGACTTAGACTACATATAAAAAAAATTTTTTGAAAAAATTTTTCAAAATCCTGAGCCAAAATTGGCGCTTATTGACGCTTTCTCTTTTATTTATGTATATTATTTAAATCAGGTCACTGAAATCATTCGTCGAAACATCGAAGGAAGTATTTAATGTGAAAACAAAATTTCATGATCTCTGCAAAAAATAAATTAATTTTTTAATTATATGCAAATGTCCGCAATAAAAACTTTCATATTTATTTATGTCGATAAAAATTAGAATAAGATATTCATAGATAAATAAATTAAATTAGTAATATTAATGGCAGGTAATGGAAAGACAATAGAAGTAAGAGAGTTAACCGCCAAATTTGCCACGGATATAATTGGAAGCACCGCTTACGGACTTGATGTGAATTCGTTCAAAAATCCAAACGCAGAGTTCCGCAAATATGGCAAGATGATATTTCATTATGATACATATCGCAGCTTTGAGATGCTCGCAATATTTTTCCTTCCAACTATAGTTCGTTTGACACGAATAAAGATGTTTGGCAAAGAACCCACTGATTTTATGCGTAAAGTTTTTTGGGAGACACTAACTCAGCGTATGAAATCTGGTTTGAAAAGAAACGATCTCATCGATATTCTTCTCGAACTAAAAAATAATAATAATAATGATGAAGATCTTAAAGATTTCAGTAAGTGGACTAAAATTAACTATTTATACTTTATACGAAATTTTTTTTTAATTATGTCTAATAAAAACAGAGATGTGATATCTAATGATAAATTAGATTAATTGATACGTCTAATAATTCTGATAACGAAAATTAATTATAACAACTGGAAACCTTTAAAAATTTACAAGTAAAGTAAATTGTAGCATTCGATGGTGATGATCTTTTGGCACAAGCAGCCAGTTTCTTCTCAGCTGGTTTTGAAACCTCTTCAACGACTACGACGTTCGCGTTATATGAACTCGCGATGCAACTTGAAATACAGAACACTCTGCGACAAGAAATCTTCGAGGCGCTTAAAAAATCCAATGGAAAAATTACATACGATATGGTATGCAGCTAATAATAAAAATAAAATAAATCTTTAGATCATCGAGACCGAGACAATCTTTAGGACGCTCGCACGGAATGCAAGAGATCCGGGTTCGACTTCCGGCCGAAGCAATATTTTTCGCAATAAGTTTATTACAGTTTTTTAAGATTAAATTTGGGAAATTTGGGGGGGGGTTTATTAATATTTCAGATTGATTGCGTTGAAAGTTCGACAATCATATCGGCACGTAATTATCATTTCTGAAATTAATTCATTTATACAATATGAATATATATAATAGTTCAACATCTTAACATTGAGACCGTAGTGGCGCTTCATATTTAAAATAATGTAAATATTTAAAGTAATGTATCTAACATAAACGATCTTATTTCCAATCTTATTACTATTTATAATTTAAATGAAAAATTATCTTTACATATAATTTTTTATTACCAGGTATGGTCATTACCATATCTCGATATGGTGATGTCAGAAACATTGAGAATGTACCCGCCATTGGGATATCTAAATCGCATGCCTAATCAGACTTACAAAGTGCCTGAGTTCAATCTCGTAATTGAAAAAGGTACACCGGTTTACATTTCGATGCTTGGCCTACATTATGATCCAGAATATTTCCCCAATCCCAATAAATTCGATCCAGAACGATTCAATGAGGAGAACAAACGTAAGAGACCACCGTGTGTCTATTTCCCATTCGGAGAAGGTCCACATGCATGTATTGGTAAGAAAACTGATTTTAATATTATCTCTATTAAAATATTAATGTAAATTTTTTCATTTCTTTGTTAACATAATATTATACGGTGCTGTTAAATGTGTATTTCACAGGCAATCGCTTCGGGCTCTTGCAAACGAAGCTAACACTACTTAAGATCTTGAGCAAATGCGAAGTGACACTGTGCAAAGAAACTTTGGTACCAGTAGTAATTGATCCAAGAGGAGCCATGACAGTGCCGTTAAACGGTATATTGCACCTCAATTTTCGAAAAATTAATACTAATGCTATTTAAAATATTTTACAGAATTTTTTATTTTAAACCATAAATATATTCCTTTATACTAAATACGCGCTTTGATAAGAAACTTGTATAACTAAATATAAAAATTATTGTAATAACAGTAAATATCATATATTATGTTGTATCATATATTATGTTTTTTTTTGCATTAAATTATTATTAAAATAATAAAATCGGCGTATGATAGTATAAAAGAAACTTGTTATTTCTTTGTTGTATCATAAATCAATAGCAAATACTTAGTTAATTGCACATTACTTTTAATGCGTTCAACAATTTTGTTTTATTAATATTTTTATTTATGATATAAAAATTCGAATTATTTTTATTTTTTAAATTGAAATTTGGAATTTCTTTTAACTAAAAATTTTAACTTTTTTACATTATAAATATTATTTTTCAAAAATAATATTCAGTATTTATAGAAGAGTTATAACTTATTAATCCATTCGTCTTGTACAGTGAGGCAGATAATTGTTTGCTCATGTTTAGGAAAATAAGAAATGGGCATAAAAGTTATTGTAATATAACTTTGCAGTATAAATTCAGGCTTCAAGAAAATCATATATTTCCATGCGTAGGAAATAGGGTATTAAAAAGAATAAAATCATAGATATATTCATTCAAGAATATATTTATAATTAGACTGCTCACTCCGTCATCATTGTGAAGCAATGAACTGTTATTTTTGTACATACTTATACATATGTATATATATATAAATGTGTAAATCATTAAAGTTGCATTGTTATCAAAGCCACGTATCACTTAGAAATAATATACAATTACACATGCTTGAACATAAATAAAGATTTCTTGGCACTACTTTTATCTCTTTCTGATAATTAAAATGAGCAGTCCATATGCTATATAATTATTGCTGCATTCTCTTTCTAATGGAGTACAGATGCTAAGATCAGGAAATACACAATCTGCATCTATTACGTACATGCAGTACGTTGTCCTTTTTTATATATTTTTAACGATGTCAAATTGAACTTTATTACAATTTTATAAATATTTTTAAATTGATTAATAATTAAAATATTAAATACTCTTAAAAATATAATTTCAAACTTTGTTATATGTAAACTAGTTATGTAAGTCTGATTCATATACATCTTATTATTTAATACAATCTAATAAAAACATTTTTTTAGTTTGTACTTATGTTTTTATATTTTTAAATTGATTAATAATTAAAATATTAAATACTCTTAAAAATATAATTTCAAACTTTGTTATATGTAAACTAGTTATGTAAGTCAATATTTTGTTTTTATTTTTATCTTTTGTTATTGTATTATGTTTTTATTTTTATTTTTATCTTGTTTAAGAAATATTGCCTAAAAACGAAGTAGTATTAGTGTCTTTTTTTTATAGTATGCGATATATATTAGCGATAAGATATGTCGAAAATTATATTAATTACATACATAAAATAAGAAAAAAACATAATTCACTCGATAGTCAAAATTAAGTGATAAGGAAAGAAAGAACGAGAAAAGAAAAAATGTTAATTAGATATTATATCAAGACAGATATTACATCAAGATAAATAGTATAATAAATAGCCACGGCAGTATCGCTGCGCGTATTACTTATACTCTAACTTAACGCCGAATCACTACCAGTGTTTCTAGATATTATACTCAATATAAATATTCAGACATCGACATATCCTTTGCGTTTTCCTGTTAGCGCTGAATATAACACGAACTCTCATCATTTGTGTAAGTTTTATAATTGTAAATTGCACATAGTTTTATAATATTTTTATTTCATAATTAACTTAATCTTTTCATGCAAATACATATTGAAATACATATTAATAGTCTTTTGACTTCATACATAATTTTATAATTTAACTCCACTCTTTCTCGGAGACCAACGAAGAAATATTGTAGTTCCGACAGTTTTTGACATGACATATTGCGTAATTATTGTAATTAACTGTGACATGACTCTATATTTTGTATCCTTTAGACATAAAATTTATTCAACGTTTAAACATTGGGTATTAATTTAAATCTATGTTATTTTTATTTGGCTGATGAAGACTTTAGTATAGTCGAAACATTCTAGTTTTTTTATGACATCGAATACTAGTTAATTATGAATAAATGTAAGATAATATATTAGTTTAAATTGAAATCTTTCCTTTACTCGTTTTTTATCTAAATATTGTTAAATAAAATTATTGTTATTATAACGTGATCGTAGTTTTATTCTTTTGTAAAAAAAAGCAAAAATATAAAAATTATTTTCTTAATTATTTTGCAATTATTCTTATTATTTTTTTCTAAACATATAGATTGAAATATTTGATATTATATACGCGAAAGAAAAAAAAACATAGATGGACATATTTTATAAATAATTATATATATTTATATTTGATTATATATAAATTTTTTTTATCGGGATATTATAAAAATAATGCTCAGAGAGATAACGATTCATATTTATTAAATAACAATTCCTATACTTCTAGATTTCCTAAAAGCATTTTTTTAATATCGTTTTCTGAAGACAGATTCCTTAATCATTATTTTTAAATTGGTAATATATTCACAACGAATTTCTTTTTAATCTCTCTAAATAATTAAAAATATAACGTTCCCCATTTTGATATAAATGCAAAAAAACAAATATTTTTATAGAGAAGCTGTGAAATGGCGCTCATAACAGACTGCTGGGCCCTGGATGGCATAATAATTATAACAATTCTAATTATAATCGCCTACCTTTACATGACTCGCAATTTTAAATATTGGAAAAAACGGGGTGTGTTAGAAATAACGCCAATACCTTTCATGGGCAATTTTATGGAATGTCTATTTCTAAAGAAAACCCCGCTATATTTCCTAAAAGAACTATATGACCAAGCGAAGGATGAACCTTATGTAGGTTTCTACATTCTGGACAAACCTATCTTATTGCTTCGCGATCGCGAAATCATTAAGAACATCTTGATAAAAGACTTTAGTATCTTCTATGATCGATACGCCACGGGTAATCCAAAAGACCGTATTGGATACACCTCTCTCTTTTCAATTAATAATCCTGCTTGGAAAATTTTAAGAACAAAATTATCACCATTCTTTACTTCTGGTAAACTGAAAAAAATGTTTGGTTTAATGCTAGAATGTGGGAATCATTTAGATGAGTATCTCGACTCCTTAAAGTTAGATGGTAAGTTGGAGAATATTAAACAATTCATAATAATTAAAAAAAATGTTGAAATACATATAAAGACTAATTACGTCTGTAAATTTTTTGTAGTACTAAAATATTTTATATATCTCATATTTATATCTATGTATTTTATACCTTTACATACAAAAATATTTATTCGTGACAATAAAAACCAAGAATCGATATACATAATTTCTACAATTAGACAAGTTTAATTAATTGAAGACATTGTCGACAGGTAAGGGGCAAATAATAGAGATGATAGATGTGAGCGCTAAATTAACAATGGATATGATCAGCAGCACTACTTATGGACTCAATGTGAACACGTTCAAAAATCCAAACCTCGATTTTTTCAAATATGGCAAGAAGATATTTATAAATAATTATCTGCGCGGTTTAGAGATACTTGCAATGTTCTTCCTTCCAAACATAACTCGTATAGCTGGTCTAAAATTCTTCGGTACAGAGAGTACCGCTTTTTTGCGCAAATTTTTCTGGGAAACAATGACTAAACGTATGGAATCCGGCGAGAAAAGACACGATCTTATTGATATTCTAATCGAACTCAAGAAAAACAATCATGATTATAAAATTGAAGGCTTTGGTAAGTGAAATTATACTTATTACTAATTTATATAATTTATATAATTATTAATTTATATAATTATTATATAATTATTATATAATTTATATATAAAAGTAAATAAAAAGATATGTAACATCATAACTTACAATGATAACATTAGATAAGCAATAATAACGTGTAAGAAAATATCGTATAGTTATCGTGATATAACTCATCTATTCATCATCTTCGAGAAGACATTGGATGTGTTCCAATGTCTTCTCGAAGCCGAGGTATCCCAATTATTTTTTGATGAATTGAATAAAAGAATCATTAGCTCATCTCCTTTACGTTTACACGGGTCTCTTGAATGTGAGCGCCGATCTCTCCACTGTACTTTCAAAACGTTCGTATTTCCGCTTCTTCTTTTCTTCGGACAGCGAAGAAAAATGACGCTCCTTCCGTTTCAAGCTACTTCGATTGAATTTGCGACACAACTTATCCTATAACTACTATATACTTGTATGTATTTTCTCATAAGCTGAACCGATTAGGCACGGCTTGTTCATAATCCAACTTCTGATATATACAAAAATATCGTATAAATATCATCGTACAATTTATCTATATTCGCGACTCTCGTGCGATAAGGATATAGGATTTCATTTGTGCGTTATTGTACAAAAACAACAATAAATTTTGCCTATTGATTGGCTATAGGATAGAGAGATTCGAGATATCTTTTGCCATATATTTGTCTTAAGACAAAAATAGAATCCCACCCTAACTCATCAACTTCTGATTAAATTAATTCGACGATTAACTCGCAAAATAACAAGTTTATATCAGAATGTCTCCTCTCTCTTCCTTTTCTATATTTAGTTCTCACTCTGGCAATACATGGTGATTAAATTAATCATCGAGCGTTTATCGGAGTTGGTGAAAGAGGTCCTGCTACCGTTGCAGATTATCTTTCTATGGTATTCGAACCGGTATTCTCTTTTCCGCACATCCATTTATAGAAATCGGTAGCGCAGATCTTTTTGGCACGCTACTCAAATAGTTCAGTTAACTATTTTTCTTACAAACGGTAATCGATCTTAATTGCAGCAAACAACGGAGACTTTTAAAATTCTACAAATGAAATGAAATTTTAGAATTCGATGAGGATGTTCTCATGGCGCAAGCAGTCAGTTTCTTCTCAGCCGGTTTCGATACGACCTCACAGCCTATTATTTTCACGTTGTATGAACTCGCATTACAACCTGACATTCAGAACACCCTAAGAAAAGAAATACACCAAGCGCTCAACAATTTCGATGGAAAAATTACATTCGACATGGTGCGTTAATATCATCTGTTCTATCAAATAATTTCTGTGAAAAAATGCTGATATAAATATTGTTCATACTTTTGCCCAAATACTTTTTTCATCTGATTGATTTCATTCCTGAGTAAATTTTAAAACTTGATAAATTTTCAATATGTAAAAATAACATCTTTATTTTATTAGATCATGTCGCTACCGTACATGAATATGGTGATATCGGAAACTTTAAGAAAATATCCTCCATTGGGATTTCTGAATCGCAAGACAATGGAGACTTACCAAATACCGAATTTTAATCTCGTACTTGAGAAGGATACGCCGGTTTATATCCCAATGTTTGCTCTACATTACGATCCGGAATATTTTCCCAATCCAGAAAAATTCGATCCAGAGCGATTCAATGAGGAGAACAAACGTAATATGCCTTTATGCGTTTACTTCCCTTTTGGAGACGGTCCACATAAGTGCATAGGTGAGGCAATTGATTTTAACTATGACATCAAGAAAAGATTAAAATTGCTAATCGCACGCGAAATTGAAATCAGTAAAAAATGGGAAAAGCATACTTTATAACTACACAAATCTAAAATTTTACATTTAGAAATTTTACAATTAAGTTACGTACGAATTGTTGTATTTTAATTATAAAAGTGAATTTGAAAACATAAATTAAGGAGCGTATATTTTGAGATGTTTGTTACATGCACAGATTGCGTTATAAATGAATCAGCATATCATCAAATGAAAAAATCAGCGGAAATAAATTGCGAACCTATATATACAATTACTTAATATTGATGCAATGAAATCTCAAATCATGATCATTGATAATGATTATGCAATAATCAATTCAATACTTTTTTTTAACTCTGATAATAAGAAAAATAAAATCAATTGACATATAAGAAATTAATTTTTTTTAAATATGATATAATAAGTTGTATATTATTGTACGTTTTGCAGGTAATCGCTTTGCACTGTTAATGATAAAACTGGCGCTCATTAAAATATTGAACAAGTATGAAGTAACACCATGCGAAAAAACTACGATACCAGTGATCATTGATCCAGTAATAACTTTGACAGCACCGTTAAATAAAGTAATATATCTCAACATGCGAAAAGCTAATATTGTTACTGATTAAAATTTGACAAAATATTATTGATATATTATGGTATAATCACATTTTTGTATTAACATTATATTATGATATAATCACACATTTTGTATTAACATTTTATCATTCACAGGCTAATCTGTAAGGATAAATACATTTTTTAGCATGAAAAAACTTCAATTCTTTAGTTGTTGTAAAATGAGGAAAAATTCAATTCAACTAAACTTTAGAATTATGATTCTAAACTACAAATGTAAAATTTAAAATATACTTTGCTTACTTATTATTAAATTACAAAAGATAATAATATAAAGAGGGATTTTTGTCAAATATTTCTTCATCACCCGCAGAATGATGGTTTTTTCTTTATTCGTCGACATTGTAAATATATATAGGAGCATATATCGATTGTATCTTTTATATGTTATATATATAAATACATATATATATATATATATATATGTATATTTATATATATATAAATATGTATACTTTTCTTCGCGCGTTTTGTTCAGTGACGGTGGGCTTTTATAATATGGTTTGCGATGATTTCAATTCGTAATATTAATAAATACACACGATTATATACATCGTGATAATCGTGTACATAAGCAACCCTTTTTCAAATGTAATCCTTCTGATCGCATTTCATAGGAATGTTTATCATGTATATAACTCAACAGGATCAGAGAATTATATCTGAAAACGCACATTCTAATTATACAGATTACAGGATTAATAGAACTGATTTGTATCTTTCTTTTTCTCATCAACACGCCTGCGATCGGAATAATATACACTAGATACTAGTGCATTAATTGCAAATATCTTTTTACAATTTTTCTGAAACCTTTCAAAAATATCATTAAAACAACAAATCATGCAAAACAACAAATCAATGAGAAATAAGAAATTTTCAAAAGTTTCGTTAAAAGTTAAATATTTTTATTTCGAACGCTAACATAGTTAGAAATTACTGCAACGTGAGTTACTTTTATTTCTAACTGTGTCAGGAAGACATCACAAATATTATAATTTTTAAATTTAGGTATCGATAGGTAGAATAGCAAAAGTCACGCTATATTGACGTCAATTAATTTGATTCAGGTAAATATTTCTCATGAAATACAATTAATTGAATTGAAGACGAAACAATCGTCAATTCTAAATGATATCGCGTAAAGGAAAGAAATACGCCGCCACTGAACAACAATAAATCAATACACTTTTTCCGCAATGCGTGTGGGATTTCTATCGATACTTTTCACACAGAATTATACACGCTTCATCCATACACAATAACATAATATCGATAACATTATAATATCGCGCTAGTAACTCGCCCGCGAGCATTAACTATATTTTTGTTCTTCTCCCCTTAAATCTTCATGTATCAGGTAAATATATATAATCTATTTATTTATTTATTTATATAATTACTTTTGTTCATTATGTGTACATGCATGTACGTATATACGTGTACATATATATCATATACGTACATATACACATAGATATATACATAGGATATTTTTATCGAATTAGATATCTTATATCGATATATAAATACAGATATATGCATCACATATATCTGTACATATATACACGTTCTCATGTGCATTCAAATTACGTTGTACGCATAAATTTCATATAATTAACGATGAGACCGATGCAACAATCGCGACTGATTTCTTTTTTTCTTTTCTCTTGACAATCCGTGACTTAATTTAACGCCATATGGGAAAAGGACGGCGAGAGACGGAGAACGGATCTTGTATAAATACGAAATTTGTTCACGTGATTCAATTATTCGAATTCACGAAGGATACACATCGAGAAGTTTCGTATTAGAATTCGAAATCGCTGCGATACATAAAGCTGTTTGTTTAAAAATAATATTAATCACAATCTGAAATGTCAACAAAGCTGCACTATTTAACATCTTTATAACCGCGTTTTACTCAAATGTGTGCATTGAGCTCACACCACTTCTACGAACATCTCATATGTCGCTATGATAATAACACTTTATAAGCTCGTTAATTATTTTAATAATTATCGAACACTCAAAGGATTTCAAATTAGAAATGACATTATCATAACGAGTTACTTTTTAATAGCAACTGGTATCAATGTTAGCATAGAGCAATTATTTAATAACTAATAATTTAATTTAATCATTAATAATTATTAAATGTAAAAATATGTTTGATGACTGAGTAATAAATCAAATTTATTTTCTGTCAACAAGCCGTCTTATTTTTATGTCAAGCGAGGGGGAGGAAAGCATGGAAGAACTTTCTTCAGAAGTTCTAAAACAGTTGCAAAACTTCTAAAGTTTCCTTTCACGTTATTTATCTGCGAATGCTAATATTAGTTCTAAAAGGAGCATTTAAAAAATTGGTAACTTTGGTTAAAACAAGATTGTCGTATACACAATAAATTGATAATTTTGGTATAAAAGTATAATAATAAATAAAGTAAAGCGTGTTAAACACCGATTTCTTCTCTTCAACGTTAACATGGAAATGGAGACCACAATGAATTATGCGACCGAGTTTAAATGTATTTTATCCCAATAATTGACGACGATAATTGGAATATGAGAAAAATTCTAGAGGGACTAAAGATTCAATTGACGAGTAAAACGATGCCGTATAATACGGCTCGATTGGCCCATTGCATCCCTTTTCATTAATATATTCTGTTTTATTCATTTATTATGCATCTCTCAATTATTAGACACTGGAGAAGCGATGATCAACATTTCAACGTTCTTATAAATTGAATTTTATTCCACATTCTATTTTATGAAACTTAGATTTTAATTTAAATAGATTTTTTGGGTTATCTCTGAAAATCGTTGATTATGTTTTAATTAAGTCTCTGAGAAATAGTCGAAAAAGTCGAATATGTAAGATTGTAGATAAACGTGTGACTAATTTCGGAAAAAAGTATCCGAAAATACATTGATCCGAGAATATACTGATAAATTTAAAAGAAATTTATAAAAAAAAATTTACATTAATATTTTTATTATATAAGAAAAATCTTTGTATTAGAAAATTTCAAAAATTGATAATTTTTCATATTTGCATCGCAAGTTTAACATAACAATAATGTTATTAAATAATTATTCATTTCTGTAAGGTACTTTTTTTTACATACTTTTAAAAGATTAAAATCGAGAAATTCAAATTTTCCGCTACATAACTTTCGCTATATAATTAGAAAAAGTTTTAAAAATAATTAGCCCTTGAGTACCTTTTTCCAATATCGATCCAATATCTTGAACACTAATAATGATCAGGCACGAAGAGCAAGCGATATAAATGAAAAAAGTACATTTGATTTTTTCTAGGATATGAAATAGAAATATTTTAAGAACAATTTGGTCATGATACAATTCTTTTACAATAAATATTGATTATTCCATTCAAGTTTAATCTATACAACTGGAAAAAATTGCAGTTTGATCATATTCTCTTCATTAACATTATCAGTTTGCAATGTTTTAATATCCTACATTAAAAAATTTTTTCAATTCATTTTTATGTTTTCAAAAGTAATAAAAATAATATTTTCGCATTATTCATATTATCTTATTTTTATTAAGATATTTCACAGTGGATTCGGATAAAATCTAATTGAGATTGGAATTTTTAGGTAGAAATTTTATTTCTACGATTACTTAGTAATCTTATGTCGAGAATCAAATGCCTTTTTCCATCCACATCACAAATTGAAAATTTGATTATTTATTATTATAATACATTGACGCCACTTTCTCATAATCGCATTTTTCTACTTGTTTCAATTTTTCCTTTTCTTAAATGTCCTTTACTATTTTTTCGATAATAGCTTTCTTATATTTTAATACACTAATTCAATTCTGAAACTCGTGAAAGAGTTACAAAAGATTTACTGAGTCTGATATAATTATCTGATTTTCGATTTTGTGTCCCGACAGCAGAATTTGCTGCATAAAAAAATTGCGCGATTAACGCAATCTTTATTCTTTCTCTTATACATAGAATTTAAAATTAATTATTTATTACACATGGCTTTTCCGCTTGTGTCGTCATGCATTCAGTTCCATTTAATTTAATCGACAAATTCTAATTTTATGGCATGGAAAAAAAGAGAGAGAGGAACAAATCATTTATCAAATAATCGGTCAAATAATTGGCAGAATCGTTCGCTCGTTCGTTCACTCGTTCGTTCGTTCGCTCATTCGCTCGCACATCGAGTTTCTTCTCGCGAAGACCGTCACAGAAAATAAAACGCGTCTGAAACCAACTCTTTTTCCTTAAAAAAAATAACGTAAGACTAGAATTCAACAATACATACGGTTTTTAATCGCTGTACAAACGCAATTAAAGTATAAAAGTATAAACAGCTAAAACATGAAAAGCAAAACGCCGTATAGAAGTAATTCGCACGTAATGCGTATGTTAACTAAAATTATGTGTCTGAATTTTTAAACGGAATAATCACAGGAGAGGACAGTTCGTCGAGAAGAGAACCATTAAGAATTGGGTGCTTTCCTTTTTCGAAGTTTACTTTTTCTCGCAGTGTTTGACGTTCGAAGAGACGTTGAGATCACAATATTTCCAATCCCTTTCAAGAAATTTCAGACCGATCTGTTTTCCTTGATTAATACATCAGCGAGAACAAATCATTTTTTCAAGCTTGGTTGCACGTAGCTGGATAAAAGACAGTTTACGATATAATTCTCGAAAAGAACGATTTTGCTGAAGTCTTTAAAAATTTAGCTACATACAAATCTGAAAATAATTTTGTTGGATTATCAAAACACTTAAGTATATATTGTACAATGAGTAATGCTGCAAAAAGTTTTGACATTTTAGCAACTAACTTAAGCGTCTTAATTATGATTATCCTATATAATTATAATTATTTGATGGTCTGACAAAATTATTTTTAAATTTATATCTAGCTAAATTCGAGGAAGTTTTATTATTTCCGTGTCTTGAGACATCGTTAAATGCCAACATTGCAGTTAACTTCATCAGAACAAGAAGCAATCTG